AGTAAGTTTAATTATTATTTATTCCATTATGCCAGGCCTTAGAACTCTTCCACAATGGCATAAATTCAGAATGATTCTCTAGACCTTTGTTTTGAAGTTCTCTTTGTGTAAGAGCACTGGTAAAAGCACTAAACCATTATCAGAGAGCCCCCCGCACCATATCAAAATCAGATAAAAGCTCCATTTCACAAATTCTTCTAGTGAGCAAACAAATTTAACCTTATTTTCTACACTGGCAGCTCCCAATCTGCAATTTCCAGAAGAAACACCACCTGCAAGACCCTCTGCCACTGCTCCCAGACAAAATTAAATTTTAGAGTCAAAATAAGTGTTACCAGGAAAAGGAAAGCAGAATATTGCCTTGAGTATTTTTCACTCTGCACCATGTCTGAATTTCATGGCCACCTGATCAAGTTTCATTCTGATACCGTTTCCTGGTAATCTCTCAAAGCACCACACACTGGAAACATGCCACAAGTACAGGTTTGAAAAAAACAAAGTACGGATGAAATGTTTTACAGACTAAGCAGTGTTATCAAGAATACCAACAGAAAGACTTTTTTTCCTTACACATACTGGGAAGTATCTGCTTGTGCCTGTACTTTTAAAGGGAAAATTGTGTTAAATCTGCTACCCAAATAACTACAAATACTTAGATTTACAGCAAAAAGACTACAACCCATTGCAATGTATACCCTTGAATCTCGCCTACCAGAAGCAGAAAAATTAACTAACATGTAATCTCACACAGAGCAGTCAAAAATGACCACTTGCCAATACAGACTGTTGCCCATTACAACTGTTCTGGATTTTGAATATACTTATTAAATGGCACTTCATAAAATTAGTCATATAATTACAATGAAAAGGGGAGAGTTCTTGCTCCTGAATAAGAAACAAATGAGGAGAAGTTATGGTTGTGTGTATATGCACAACTACCTTAATGCCTTCGTGTTTTCCAAGTGAGGCAACAAAAACAAATTTATTTAAATAAATTACAGAAATATATACTTAAATTCAACAAGAATGTTTTCAAAGATATACCTACACAAAAGACATATCCAAAAAAGAGCCTCATAAACTCACTGAAGAAACATGCAGTGACTGAAATGTTCAGATTGCTTTAGAAATAACACATTGTGCCCCAGCAGCATGCCATTCATTGAATAATCTGATTAATCAAAATAGTGAAAGATTTCAATAATTGTATCTTATGGTAGGAGTTTATATATATCAATCTCTTTTCAAAAATTACACAAAATATTAAATGGAACACAAAACCAGTATTATCCTTGTAAAGTTATAGCCTCTGTCTATTCTGAGGATGCAAAACTGCGACGTTAATCCAGAGATTTCTCACACTTTCCATACCAAAAGCCATACCTTCTTTTTCTTGATAAAAAAGTTTACCACTGCAGATATGTAACTTACAAGTTACAAACTGAAGAGCGTAAAGGCACATGGCTATATATCACTATCTGGCTAACTAAACTCCAGTTGAGGAGTATGAAGTATTTTTCAGAAAATGAAGTTATTTTAAATAGTATACATAGGTTCTGAAAAGTGGCCAGTGATGTCACATCGAAATAGACAGTGAAAGAGTTTCTTTAGGTTGGAAAGGATACTTAACATCTTTTTTACAAAAGGTAGCAACCACAAAATACACAGACACACACAAATTACGAGTAAAGAGAACCACAACATCAATAGAACCCAAGGAAATGAGGTAATGTCAAACTCTAGGTTTAGCGCTTACTTTTGCAAGACTCAGAATCTAATTATATGGAAATTGCTGTTTTCTATTAATAATTTTCTCTTCAAAGAAATGTATTAGCTGTTTCCTCTTCTGAGTTTTTACACTGAAAAGAAATAACCATAATTCCATAGTATTTCTTTACCTCATATGATCTTAATGATTAATTATTGCAATTATGTTCAAGACAAGTGTATCATATTAGAACATTGTAAGCACTGCCACATAAAAATAGTGAAAGTTCAGTAAGATCAAGAACATAATTTCGCACCTATAATTATAAACCTGCCTTGAAATACTGTAGACTTAAAAGGCATATAGTTTTGTCAACAGAAATAAGATTTCATCTGACAATACAGCTCGTGATGTTCACCATTTTCCTGTCTTCACCTAAATACACAGGGAAAACCGAGCAATTCTGTAAAAGCAGACAGACATTGCAATTGCTGAGATTTTTAAAGTACTGCAATAACACAAAAAAACAATAACATCCACTTAAAAGTACACCTTGCCTGTGAATGTTCTTGGGAAGCACTGATTCAGCATATTACAGTGCCATTTAGGTCAGTTAATACTGTGCTTACAATTAAGGTCCAAACTATTTCGAATGGCAAGTATGACAAACATAGAAAAGATGTCTGGATGATCTTAAGGTCCTTTACAACCCTAACTATTCTATGATTCTATGTCCTGAAACTTTAAAATTCTGCTGCCATTATTCACTCTCTAAATGTGAAACTATTATTTTGTATTGTGTAAGAGAGAACACTCGTTTGTTATTAAATATTTTACAAGCTCAAAATTACAATTTTTCTCCTCAATTTTATCCAAACCCCAAGACTGCAAAAACAGGTACATATCACACCTTAACTGTACCCTTCACCAAAAATGAGTTACTAACTATAAAAACTTGCTTCAAAATCTTTGCCCATGAAGGCACCACAGGTCTTTTACGAGGACTTTACAAGTAGCTATAGGCTACTTTAGCTTCTCTTCACATTCTTTTTAAAGGTAGAAATTGCTTAAGCTCAAAATACTGAAAAACAACCATAGAATCAATTATTACTGCAAAGCAGAAATTAGCAAGTCAAAGAAACTCCCATTCACAAACTAGTGATCATTTATGCAATTCATAGAACAGAATAGCATGCTTAAAAGAATTACGACTGCAAAGAGATATGAGCAAAGGGTACTGCCTTTTAACTAGCATTAAAAAAAGCACATGTACTATGCCTAATAAAACAGTCTACAGATCTTTCCTGGAGAAATCAAGCTACAAAAAGATTATTTTGAAAGTTTCCTTGTGCTACTATCAACCATAATAAGTCAGAAATTACAAAGAGCTACTCAGTACAATGACTAAACAATAAAAGTAAATAAAATCAAAACCAAGAGCTTAACTTCATAAAATTGCAGCTACTGAAACTGCAAAAGGTTAAAGAATATTTGCAGGCATCTCAGAAGACTTCTTCAGATATACTGTCCAGAGTAGCCAGACTCAAGACACTGACATGCTCTCCGATAATGATTTAAATGTTAGTCACGCAAAACCATCTACTCATTTGATTGTAAATGAGTTTTTCCCAACCTTTAACACTCATCATGTGCATACACGCTATACAATAGCTGTAGTTATGCTATTACTCAAATCTTAATAAGCTCTATGTTAAAACCTCCAGTGACAGTAAAAACCGTAGCCTGAAGATCCCATGATCTTCCCTTGAATTCTACTCCTACAGTCTATATAATCCTGTTTCTACATCTTGAGCAGCACTGAAACCATTCTCACTAACATCTTGCAGCCTAACCCTCCAATGAGGCTCACAATCAACAGGTAATTCTCATCTTCCTAGATCTGTCAATCACACAAGACTACCAGCAGTGTTCCTTTTTCAGAAATATTCTCCCTGGTTTCCTTGGCACGTTGGTCTCATGATTCATCCCCTTATCATTCTAATTGTTCTTTCAGTGCATCCTCCTTAAGAAGCCTCCGCATTCACCTGTGCTATTTTATGAATCATTTAATCGATTCCTGTCTCGCACCCATTTCTATTCTCATTCCCTTTACCCTGGGCCAGGACTGAAATCAAACTATTAACTCCCTGCCATTAATCACAATATACTTTCTACTTCATATCTCCTGTGTTTGTCCAAGCTAATACCCCAGCTTGTGTCTTTCTCCATATAGATACCTCACTATCAGCTCAGTGCAGACAAAACACAGGTCTTACTCTTTCATTGCTTCAGTTCGCTTTCCGCTACTGCAAGTCACTAACCTTTGGGACTCTAAACGAAGCATCAGCCCTCAAACTATGGTTCTGTATCGGTCCTAGAATTAACCCAGTTTTCATATCCTGGGAATGCCCACCACATCACTAATATAAGCCTTTTAGTAGCTTAAATCTTATCCTGTGACCATAGCAGTTTACATCAGAACTAGCAAAGCATCCTTGTTCATGTTTCAAAAACCAGAGCTGACCTTGTTCTGTTCATTCTGAATGCTACTCTCTAGATAGCTTTTATAGCCCAAGGTCAGATCAAACAAGTCTCCCCTACATCCCCCATCTCCTGAGCAGCATCTGCTTCACTCTCTAATTCAAGACACTTACTGGTCAATGCCCTCATCCCAAAATTACTAATCAGGACATAGATGAGGTTCTTATTTCAATCAACTGTTATATTTTCATTTCTGAACTTCTCCACAAAGCAGCACCTTATTCTTCCAAAACACACCTACAAATGTTTCCACAGGGCTCACTAAAAACAAACAAACAAACAAACCGACCAGATGGCTGGCACACCTAGACCACTATGCTAAAATTCACTGCACTGATGCCAGATATTCTCCTGTGTCTTACCCTTATATTGTTAAATATTCTGGGTCAGGAAACACCTCTTAACCACAGAGCTGTGGGATGACTAATTCAGACACATAATTCAAATAGTCTGATACTTTAAAAAGTGTTACGAAAACAACTGTCTACTTTACAGTGCCTATGGAAAACATCTTAGCAGTGACAACCCCACTCAGTTATTTTGTCTTTTTCAAGGCTTCTCAACCTGTCTGAAAAATAATCCCAATACTATCCTTTATACTGTGGTGACAGAGGTTTTCACTGGCAATCAAACATTCAAAACAATGCCTAGCACTTCTCATTTTTATCTATCTTTTCTAAAATTTTGATCACTTGTATGGTGGCACAGGAATTGCAAGGGTGGTTTGGTTGCTGGTTTTTTGGTTTTTGGGTTGTTTTTTTTTCAATAGCTTCTTGCGTTACTTTCTAGTACTTTAAAGATCAGGTCATCTCAGGCTACAGAGACACTATTCCATATTTTATGTCACTGTAAAGTGACACAAAATTCAGTTCTTTGGAATAGAAACTGTGTCATATGGTTGTGTTAGGTGTAGCACAGAAAGTTACAAACTAATTGAGGCCTATATGCATTTCTGTAGTATCAGTAATTATTTAAAACAAAATGTTTTGCACTCATGTAAATGCTTCTCTAATTAAAAACCCTTTTCATTATTTTTGTCATCTTACAGTGATGCTTTCATAAATCATTCACAAGAAAAACCAAAATACTATCCTATCTACATATATACTATATTATACTATACTATCCACATAACTATACTATACATATAACACATATATATGTATATTATATATAATGTATATTATATAATTAATATTATACATTAATTCTAATATTAATATATATTATACATATATATTTTATACTATACTATCCACATACAATACTATACTATCCACAAAACCCAAAAATACTATCCTATTATTCCAGCCATAAATTACCCGTTTCATTTTAAATAATGGTTCAAATAGTTAGTAAATCATTTTCAGTTATTTGATGTTTCTGTGTACTTTCTCATTATAGCTCTGCTACGGTACAATACAGGTTCCGTCACACCATGTATATGGGTGTGATGCAAGTAAGCAGGAGTATGCCACATGCTACAAACAAGAAATTGGAAATGTAGTTTGACTGCCCCCCAGAATAACTGCAGTAAATTCCTACTATTCCGTTTCAACACAGCATTAACCTATGTACTATCAGGTAGGCTTAGGCACAAAGTTTATGCAGAAAAAAAATCGTAGTACTTTTACGTTCAGCCTACACTGACTGCAGAAACACCATATGCTTTACCTCAAAGTTTGAGCACCCCTAAGAACTGCAAACTGTCCCTTAAAATACAACATGGTATTTGCATACTACATTCTTCAGTTAAACTTTTTAATTTCAGGAACTTTTTTTCCTGTGCAATTCAGCTTTTACATAAAGAAAACTGCCTTTACTATTTCGAAAAAAAAAAAAAAATCACCTACTGAAGTAACATCAATTTTTAATATTAACACAGACAGCTCAGCATCAGAGCAACACTCCAAACACAGGACATAAAAAAAAAAAAAAATCAGACTCCTCAATGTAATCTAACTGTAATATTAACTAAATTTAACAGACTTCATTTTACCAATGTTAAAAATATTTAACAGTAAGAAAACAAGACTACTTTTTCAGAGAATTATTCGACTTACAGGTTTTGAACAATAAATTCAACATTAAAAACCTAAAATACACACCCTTTTTTTTCCAATCATGGTAAAATGCTGTTTTTCCTAATGAATAAATAATCTACAGTTGTTACTGTCAACACTGTAACAGATCTCAGAGAAGAATAAAAGTAACATCACAAACATGAGAACACTCCTGACAAACTGATTATTATTGTAATAATCAATAAACAAAAGGAAACAGAACCCAAATATTCAGATGAATGCAGTAACAGAAACGTGGAAAGACTTAGTTGCTAACTAGAGCACAGACTAAAACTTGCAGCAAACTTTAAACGCGTTTGCTCCCTCCTTTCAACTCTAACCTCTAAAACAGTACACTCCAGGAACCACAACAAAATAAGACTAGCTTGCCCGAAGAACATTTAATTGGGAAAATGTGTATCAGCCACAAGCCGCCTTTATCAGGAGAGAAATCAAGCAAAAGCTTCAGTTTAGTTTTCGACAAACAAGAGTGAAGAATTGGAAACACTACTGCAGCCAAACAAAACAACAAAATACCATAATGCTACCTTCTCCATGAGAACAAAAGCATCAACCACCAACTCCACCCCACCCCCAAGCAGGCTGTTGCTCTCTAACCACAGAGCCAATGCTGTAGACAATGTAATCCCACAGGGAAGACAGAAGGTCACAGACACACTGTGAAATCACAAAATAAGGTCCACGTTGCAGAAGGGCAAGGCAGTACTTTCACCACTTAGGGTTTCATTTGCACAAACAGGTGGGGTACAGAAACAGCCCGTTCATCTCTTGACTGTCCCTTCCCTCAACACATAGAGGGAGGTCACATATGCTTAGTCTAGTCCAAAATTAAGGACACGGCACTTACAGTAAGCAGCAGAATTCAAGACGTGGTGAGGATGACAATATGCAATGTAACACTGCAGGTGAGATTGCATTGTGTATACCAGCAGTGGATCTGTTATTATTCATCAGCTGCAGGTGGCTAACAGGGTGTCACTTAGTATAGTGACACACGCTGCAGCTGGCTAGCCATGATTAAGTATTACCCAGTGTGGTTGAAAGGGATGGCGACTATCATTCATTACACTCCAGCGTGGCGTAGCGGGGTGGGGGGGCTGCTACCCTTCGCTGCAACGCAATATTTGGAGAAAGGCAGCTAGAATTCCCTAAAGCCTTGGGAATGGTGCACGGGGAGGAGAGAGAAAGGGAGCCTTACTCCCCCAGTCTGCAGGAACTGGTGTCCTGCTAGCAGCGGCAGAAAGCCTGACCGCGCTCTACGCGACCGGGAGCGCTCCACCTCGGCGCTCGGCGGTGTCAGAGCCACCCCGCTCCCGGGCCAGGCCGGGGGCCTCCAGCTAGCCCCCGCCGTACGAAGTGGCTAAGGCAGGGCAGAAAGGCTGCGCTCAACTTCTCCAAACTGCAGGAGCAAAAGCCTTTGTCCGAGAGCTCCCCAGTATGCGGCCGAGGGAGCCCCGGAGTCCCCCTCCTACGGCAGGTTGAACTGGGGCAGCAAAGAAGGGGGAACGGCATGTGCCCGCCCCGGGTCCGTCCTCGCTGGTCTCCGCTGCTCTCCGGGAAGCCCTCAGAGAGGGACCCGTCCGGAGCAGCCAGGAGGAGCACTGACCCCGCACGGAGTTCCGACCGCTGTGCTCGTGCCGAAGAGAAGCGGAGCAGGGGAAGCGCCGAGCCCTGCCGAGCCCTCCCCACCAGGGTGCCTCCGGACGGGAGCCCAGGCCGCTCACGGCCTGTCACCCGAGGCGCGGGGGGCCTCCTCCCGTGTGCCCACCCGGCGGGATCCCAGCCCCCCGGGGTTTGCTCCCCGGGCCTGCCCCAGGGCCATCCGAAGGACAGCCCTGGCTTCCCCCGAGCGGCGGCCGAGGCGCCGACGGGCGGGTGTGGAGCAACCGGTGCGCCGCCACCCCCAGAATCAGCCGGCTGCCGGCGCGGCGCCGCGAACCCCCCGCACTCACCCTGTCACAACAGGCGCCATCTTCCACAAACTCTCGCCAAAACTCCTACTCTCGCGAGAGAGCCCCCCCCTCCCCGCGCCCGGAGCGCGCGTGCGCGGGCCCGTGAGCCACGCGCGGGGCGGGGGAAGGAGGCGGCGCGCACCGCCCACTCCGCGCCTGGGCTCTCCCCTCAGACACAACAGCCGAGGCGTGGGAACCGAGCGGCTCTCGCGAGAGCCGCGCGCCGCTGGCCAGCGGGCAGAGCGGTGAGAGCGGCAGCTCTCGCGAGAGCAGAGCGCGCGGGGCGGGGGGGAGAAGACGGGAGATTGAGGGATTCCTTCTGCCCGCTAGCGCGTCTGGCTCCTGCGCCTTACCCCGCTGGGGAGGAGGGGCGGCGGGGGATGGAACAGAGGTGCCCCAGGTGCCGGTGAGGGGAGCTCGCCGCTCTTCCCTCCGCCCCCCCCACCCCGCGGGAAGCGCGTGTGGGGCCGCTTGCCTCGTGCTGCCTGTGGGCGCCGCACATGCGCGGCTGGCGGTCCGGGGAGAAGCTCCTGCCGCGTAACTGGGCTGTGCCGACCGGCGCCGTGGTGTGTGGGGGAGACGAAGACGTTCGTTTTCCTCGTATAAAATCTCTCAGGAGTTCAAATGGGATCTTCTGTGGAAGTTTTGTCAGTGCCTGCTTAGACGAATCGCTTGAGTCAAAACCCCAAGCTGATGACCATCGAGCAGCTTCACCTCCCTGCCATAGTCAGAGAAAGCCAGGCCGCACCGACTGGAGGAAACCTGTCGTGTTGTGTCTGGTGGCTCTGTCAGGCAGTACGGACTAAGCGCTTCCTGTTTATCGAGGTTAAAAATTAATTAGTACATGACTCCATACAGGAAACTGAAAATAAATTGATTTCCAAATAGCGAACAAAAACGCTGGAGTAGGAGGCTGAGATGTGGAGGCACAGGCATTAGCGCTAATGGATTTCTTACACTGAAATGTACCATCACCTTTTAAAAATCGGTTCCAAACGAGAAGCCTGTTTTCATAATACCTCTTGTAGTCTGCAGCCAAAAGCACAAGAAGCATTTGTTTAGCAAACACAAGTTGTTGAGTCTGCTAAGACTTAACCGATGCAGCAAAGCTGCTGAGGCACGGGAGCAGAAGGTATCTACAGATGTGATCCAGTGTTTTGACATAGCAAAAGAAGACCCCCATTTTGGATTTGTTTTAACAACATGTTTTCAAGGTGAGGGGGCTGTTTGTCCATTAGAAGACCATGTCGGAAAATTAATACTTTAAGGATTCTGCCCTGTCTGTTCAACTTCTCTGTCTTTAGTATAACATGTCAATCCAACTTCAAGCACAAATGCAGTGTTGATTTAAAGATCTGCTGAGATTCCAAAACCCACATAATTTTTATTACTGCACCTCTGTACCTCTGCTGTCTCCCAGATTAGAGAGTAAAATAACATTTTAGTAATCTCGTAAATGTGATTTTGGGTTTCTCTCCTGCATACATTCTCCACTGCTAGTATTAATTCAATGAATGATGTCTCAGATGAGTAAAATCATGTTTTAAGAGATTACTTGGCAACAGAGTTTGCTGTAATTCTACTCACTGTACAAATAGCTATTGTTTGCTCTCATTAAGGGACTTTCCCCATCATGATTTCCACCTCCTCATTAGGTTTGAAAGGACTTTGGTTGGCTCCCTCATAGGTGCAGTTCTCGGCAAAAGCACAATGCATACTGGAAATCCTCTGTATTGTTTGCAGAGACTGGCTCATAATCTATTTGGAAATCTCTTCCTAAAAACATCTTCTTTTTTTTTTTTTTTCCCCTCCCAAGGCTGAAGAATGATCTCAGCTCATGCTCACTCCATTCCATTAAGAATGGTTTCTGGATATTTGCCATGGACTGTCTCTAGATGGTCATTTGATGGGGCCCCTCTTTTAGTGTGTTTTGAATCAAACTGGAAAATCTAAAAATATAGCACACAATAATCTGCAGTGTCTAGACTTTTAATATTTTACAAAGAAGGCATTTTGGTAACCAGATTAATTGGATACTGGAGCAGGTATATTATTTCAAAGAATTAATAATTACAGAAATTATTGTAGTCTTTTCCATCACCAGCAGAAGTACATTATAAAGCAAATAACCACTGATTTTTCTTTTTTTTTCTTTTTGATGATAAACAGTCTGTAGTTCAGAAGGCCAGGAATACTATTCAAACAAAAAACAATAGCCTGAAATTGTATGAGTAGCCAGTGGAAGGAAAGATAATAAAACCACAGTGGGTTTTTTTAATATTGTTCATGCATTAATTTATCTTCTTGCTGCTATGTTTGCATTTCACATAGTAAAGTGTGAGCAATTCCTGTTGACTTTATTGGAAACTGAAAGCATCTGGTACCCTGGAGAACTAAGGCCTGCTTT